ACACCCTTCATTGATATAATGCCTAAATTGTCCTGTGAGGTAAATGAGTGTAAGTCATATTTTAAGAGCTAAACTCAGACCAAATGTGGCTGTAGCATTACAGGCCACCACGGATAAGGAATATGTCCGTCGTCTCCGGCATCTAGGACAGGACACCGTTAAGGATGAAGCTCCGTAAGGACAGTGTCTGTGTGTGTGTCACTGTAGCCCCACCCGGATGCACCCCAACAGAAGATGCAGAATCCTGCTGCCGGGGCTGGAGATACAGCTCTGTGGTAGAACACTTTCAAGTATGTTCATGGCTCTGGACTTACTCTCCAGGACTGGGAAGAGGAAAGCGGGTACTCTATAGACATAAAGAAAATGGCCTTCAGTCAATGAAGTGAGTGGAAAAAACTAAGTATAACTGGATTACAGCTACACATGTTTATACAGGGTATTTTGTTTTGTACATGGTGTGTGCTGTGTACATGTGCCATGGGAGAAAGGGAGCAAATGTTCTCAGGGACTCCCAAAAGGAAGGACCATCTTTTCCCACAGTGGGGTCTGTGGGCCAGCAACTCCCCCATCTAGCGGTCGTAAGCCAGCACAGCAGTTGTTCTCCTTTGGTTGGTGGGATCCATTGTGCGTTTTCAAACTTATTATATGCCATATTCTTATCCCCATGCTTATCTCCCTGGGCTCTGTCCTCTGCCCTCCCAAAGTAGAGGCCAAAAGGTATATTCCCGTTTATCAAGCTTTACAGCGGTTGCCTAACCTGAGAGCTTCAGAAAATGCAGTAAAGGGAGGCAAAGGTCATTTGTAATAGCTGCCTAAGGGAAAATCCAGCATAAACAAATGACAGCAGTCTGTAGTATCCGCCAGGCCAGTGCAAAGGTGTCAGGTCACCGAGACGAACTCGTGGCCGCCATAAGGGGTGAGTGGTCAGAGCCGTTCACTTAAAACAAAGCACTTTTATCTAAAGCAAATTTATAGAAATGAGTAAGCAAAAACATACTGTAATATAGTAGATATTCAATGTCACTCAGCTAAAACGTAGAAAAATACAATCTTACGTCAATTTTAGACTTTATCTAAGGGTAGCACGGGCCAGCTTTGCCATACTAATAGGAAATAGCCTTCCTTATCGCTGATCCTTGGTTACAAAACACCCTTTCACCCGTACACTGGAGTCCTAGGTATTTCAAGTTCAAGGCAAAGCCCAGGAGGCTACACAAGTCTTCCGACTCCTGGGAAAGACTGCCTCATTGTAAGTTAAAATAATTAAAAATTATCTTGTTGTTTAATAGTGTTTATAATGTGACTATTGCCCCCACTGAGAATAAGGCAGACCCAGCTGCAGCGATGCACTGACATGGTACCTCTGTAACAGCTTCAGGCATTGGGCCATGCTTTCTCTAAGTACCATACTCAGGATAGTGAGAAAGAATCACTTGAGCCCAGGTATTTGGAAGCAGCCTGGATGTCACAATGAGAATGCCATAGCTTTTAAAATTAACTGTAAAATAGTATAATTGCCATAACCAAAAGAATTACTACATTTCAGTAATTAGACACTAATTATGAAGTATACTACATATTTATGAATTTCTTTCTTTTTTTTTTTTTTTGGTTTTTCAAGACAAGGTTTCTCTGTGCAGCCCTGGCTGTCCTGGAACTCACTCTGTAGACCAGGCTGGCCTCGAACTCAGAAATCTGCCTGGCTCTGCCTCCCAAGTGCTGGGATTAAAGGCGTGCGCTACCACTACCCAGCTTAGTATACTACATATTTGCATGGAAAATAAATGTATCTCCTATAAGACCTGTTCCAAGAGATTAATTAGAGTATAGAAAAGTCATATATTAAGATGGATCAAATATAGCATTAAACTGACATGGAAGTACAGGTGTTTAAATCAGAAAGTTGAGGCAGGAGGATCACCAGTTCCAGGCCAGTCTATGATACACAGCAAGACATAGTCTCAAACCAAAACAAAAGAAGACAACAATAGTAACAAAAATGTAGCAATAAAAATGCTTTTTCATATCATTACTCAAATGGAGTATTAAAGTGTTAGTATATGTCCAGAGTAGCACAGTCTTAAAACTTTTTAAAATTCTCATGTGAAGGAGGGGCTGTTCTATCAGAAGTCTCACACAAACTCCGGACCTGTGGGTTTCTCACACTGAAAATCATCTCACTTTCCTGTCTGCGTGAAGGATAAGGAGATGACATACAAGAGGCCCATGGTGCATCTGCGTGAATCTAGCAAGCAGAGTCACATCCTGAAGAAAAGTATTCCCTGTGTCTGGTAGTGTTCCCTTTAGGCTCTGCCCGACCGTTACCTAGCAACAGCCAGGTATGAGCCTGGCTCACTTACAAAAGGACTTTCCCAACCTCTCCCCTACCCATTTTCTTCCTCTCTCCCACATGTTCCTGGCCAGCCACTTCCCTTCTTTCTCTCTCCTCTCTCTTTCTGTCCTTTCTCCCCTTTCTTTCTCTGCCTCTACTCTCTTCTACAGACCCCCTTTCCAGGTCCCAAATAAACTTCTTTTCATACTAGGCCTGTTGTGTGACTAATACCCTGGGAGAGTTGCCTCAGCATGGGCCTACTAAGACACCCTTCCTGCTGCATCATACCACATTTTGTAAAACATATCAGTCTTAGTTTGGGTTTTACTACTGTGAAGAGACATCATGACCAAGGCAACTCTTATAGGGACAACATTTAATTGGGGCTGGCTTATAGGTTCAGAGGTTCAGTCTATTATCATCAAAACAGGAAACATGACAGCATCCAGGCAGGCATGGCACTGGAGGAGCTGAGAGTTCTACATCTTCATCCAAAGAAAGCCAGGAGCAGTCTGTCCTCAGGCAGCTAGGACAAGTGTCTCAAAGCCCAGCCCCACAGTGACACACTTCCTCCAACAAGGCCACACTTCCAGCAAGGCCACACTTCCTAATAATGTCACTTCCTGAGCCAACCATATTCAAACCACCACGATATACATAAAATATATAACCATAAAATATAAAACCAAACAAGTCTTTAGCATTCTTTAACTCAACACTATGGGTAAGGTAAAGAATTCGAAAACACCTCCTCATCTCCAAATACTCTTCCACAAAACTGTTATAGAAATAATATGTCTACCCAATGAGAAGTCACTGTGCATACTTAAGAGATTAGTAAAGGAAAAGTTCTTTACAAACATCTAAAACCCCATGCGGCTGACTGTGGCTAATGTCCAAAGAAAAGCAGGCCTCCAGTTGAAGATCTTACACACACACACACACACACACACACACACACAGTGGGCTTGTTCTTTCCACGAGTGCTGTCATCCTTAAGTCTCTTTGAGGTCCTGGCCCAGGTTACATGCCAGACAATTTCAACGGACATGGGAGACTGCAAGTCTGGAGACTTGGGCACATGGGAGATTTTTACAACAAAGATATTATCAGAATTGTTTCTTGAGTACACCAGTGTTATTCTTTTCACAGAGCTGTTACCCAGGCTCATCTTGCCCACCTGGCAGAGCTATATTTTTCCTGTTAAGAGCACAGGAGAGTTAAGGCAGACCAGGGCACGATGGTGCTTGTAACTCCGCTCTGCCCACTTGAACTGCCCCTTAAAGGCATGGTCTTTGATATGGAAACATACCCACCGACTGGTTCTAAGTCCTTTATGGGGACAGAGCCTAACTGGATAACCTCCGGTTGAATAAACATTTAGCAGAAACTTCCCTGGGAACCCTAAACTTCAGTTATGGCACAAAATTTTCTTTCTACAGCTTCTAACACATCTGATGAGCACACTGATGGCCCAGTAATCTTGGAGGTAATGCCCCTTTAACTAAGTTCTACTCCGTATAACTTAATATTTCCTAAGCAAGTGTTTTAGTAACTCTTTTAAAGCATCAATTTTACTACAGATTTCAACTACATCAAAATTACTCTCTCCATAGCCTGTTGTTGTGGTCCATGTCTTTAATCTCAGAACTCAGGAGGCAGAAGCAGGGGTATCTCTGAGTTCCAGGACAGCCAAGGCTGTATAGCGAAACTTTGCCTCAACAAACAAACAGGCAGACAGACAGATAGACAGAATATGGCTGTCTGGTCATCTGCTCACCAAAGGACTGTCTTCTACGTACCCATGGTGCCTCCCTATGGGTGCACTGCACTGCCCTCTCCTATGTACCCATGGTGCCTCCCTATGGGTGCACTGCACTGCCCTCTCCTATGTACCCATGGTGCCTCCCTATGGGTGCACTGCCCAACTTCTCAACTACAAACACCGTTCTGCACACACCACAAAATAACATATCTCCTAATGAGACTCCAAACACCAAAATCCTACTGTATGAGAATACTTGTGTCATAAATAAAAAGGCATTGATAGTATAACAGAAGTTATATTTTATTATGCAGAGTGTCTTCACACAGTGTTCACACACTAAGTTACTAACTGTGGTCCTAATCCTATTTCTCCTAAGCTGCCCACCTGTGCAGTGTATCTTAGCTGAAGGTCAGGTCCAGTCTCTAACAGTAGTCTCTGATTTGAGGGTCAGCATCCTGGGGGAGAGACTCTCCAGTCACAGGGAAGATCAGGGTGACATCTCTCTAGATGTGCAGAATGAGCACTGCTCTTGGTCTCTGCTTATACACTGTCCAGTGGGCACCATGGGGTTCTAGGACTGTGTCTGATTGTCTTAAGTCAGTGATGTCACTGGGTTCTGGTTATCAGATGCAGCCTTAGCTGTAGTGGGGATCCTGACTAAACTAGTTTTACATGTCTAAAAGGTGTTTTTAAAAATGTTCTTTACAACCTAATACATTATAGAAGACTCTGAAAATTCCAGAATGTGTCAAAACATCTTAGCAGTTATATGTGGAAATTTTATCTCTAGAAATTCCTGATAACCTGCTATGGCTCCACCTGGCCTGGCTTCCTCAAGAGTAGCAACTATGCATTTATTAAACAATTTGTCTTTTCCAAATGTTTGTCCATTTTCTCCTGGTGTATCACAAGGGAGTTGCCTCTATTAACTGGAGAGGACCCAAACCCAGAGGCATTTGAGAATTTCCTTAGAGGTGTCGGCTGTGGGCTGCATCAAATCAGAATATTTCTAGAGTTCTCCATTACAGAATGCCTTGTATTCTTCATATCAACTACTTCAGAATCCATCCCATTCCAGTTTTCTACAGGTTTCCATTTATGTTGCTCAGAGCTGGAGAGCAAACTCTTTCTAATCCTTGTTCTTCCTTCTTCCTTTGCGCTGGCGTTGCAGGGGTAAGGTGGCTAATTTATACATCACAGGAAATAGAACAGCCGTGAATATGGCTGAGCCCAGACATATGTACAGAACCACTGGCAGATCCGGGTAGTGTTCTTGAAGAATCCCGATGACCGCAGGAATGGCCATTTCTCCCAGGGAAGCGCCAATTACAAAGAATGCTGCAGATTTCCCAGTTAAGGTGGTGTACTGCTCAATCCAGGAGATGCCGCTGGGAAACGTGGTTGCCATGGAGGCTCCATACACAGACGTCGCGATCCAGAGACAGAGACGGCTCTTGTCAAAAAGCACCAGAAATAAAGATGAGGCCAGGCTGCCAATGTTGCTCAGAACAATCATGGTTGCAGGCTTTAAGAGAGTTGCAAAGAAGATGGCCAGACCCCTGCAGGCTGCAAAGGTCCCCCAGAAGATGGAGTTCAAGCCAGCTGCCTCGCTCTCTTCCATGCCAACATGGGTGGTGGCAAAGGAGAATACAAAAGAGCCGTAGGTCACCTCGGCTCCCACATAGAAGAAGAAGAAGAGGAAGAGGAGACATAGCAGGGCCCAGTGATATTTAGCCCTTCGAGCTCCCTGAGCAGATGCTGAGGACTTTTTCTGCTTTGAGCTTTTCTTACAAAACAGACCAAACAGGAAGACAGAAACTACTAAGACATAGGTGCCAATAGAAGCATATGCCCACAGCAGATTCATGTCATCGGGTACCGCGAACACAGAGTCTGAGGGGGCTTTGGAGGATCGGTTCAGCATTAGAGAGTTAAAGTCGGACTCGGTGTGGTTCTGAGCAGATGCTGTGGTACCCCAGGCCAACTTAGCCAGCAGGGGAGCCAGAAAGGCACCCAAGGCGAAACTGAAGTGCAAGGCCTGCATGTATGGGGCTCCTTTGTCCCCCCAAAGAGCCAAGATGAGGACGTTCCCACCTACGAGTTAAAGAAATAATCTGAGTCACTTAGTAGGACCATTTTATTAGGGTCTATATTAGGCTGTAGGAGTTCTATGACATTCTAAGTATACCAGAACCATTCTGTAATTAAGGAGCTGTAACCCACCATCACCAGAGGACTGGGTTATATCTTATCTTCATACACAGAATTTACAAGTTAGTAAACCATCACTCAAGTCAAGCACATTAGAAACTATTTATTATAGTGGTGATCTCACTGGGGAGTAGTACTAACTGTGGTGAGAATTCGAATGCCCTCAATAGGTGGTACGTTTGCATGCTTAGTCCCCAGTTGTGGAGCTGTTTGGGAAGAATGAGGAGGTGTGGCCTCATTGGGGGAGGTGTGTCACTGCGGGTGGGCTTTGAGGTTTCAAAAGCTGACACTAGGCCCAGGCCCTGTCCCTCTTGGGCTCCCCCCCTTCCCTTCTCTTTCCTCTCCTCTCTCTCTAGGGATTAGAATGTAAAGCTCTCAGCTACTGTCCCAGGGCCTGTGAGCCGAGACACTGTGAGCCACCCTGCTCCCTGCCATGATGCTTACGGGCTAATACTCTGGAACTGTAAGCAAAGTCCCTGTTAAATGCTTTCTTCTATCTCGTCACAGCAGTAGAACAGCACAACACTGACAAATGTAGCTGTAATTTTTGAGAGAGCCCTCATATATGTTATCCTGGCCATGAACTTGCTATGTAGCAAAAGGTGATCTTGGATTTTTGATACTCCCATCAGAATCATCGAAGTACTGGGATTACAAGAATGTGCCTCTCAGTTTAAGCAATGGCAGGGATTGAGCCCAGGATTTTGTAGATAAATGCTCCGCCCACCTGATCCATATCCCTAGGTCCATGTGTAAATGTATGTGCAATACTAGGCAAAATTATCTAATGGTGGGAAAAATACCAGAGCTTCAGTGTTTCAATTGGGTGCTAATTCCTATTGAAGTAATTATTTACTTAGGTCTAAACTAGATACTAAACACCTCGATGCCAGCCAGATTGTCCTATAATTCTGTCATACTTGTTACAGGAAACAAAACCAAGTTTCAGAATTGTGACCTGCATAGTTTCAACACCCACAATGTGAATAGCCAGGAGCGTCTAGTATTTGACTATCTTCAGAAATCAGATATTTTGAAACAAGCATGTAGTTCCACACTGCAGTTTACATTCAAATGAATCTAGAAGTGTAAACTATTCCATGATCTATCAAATATCTTTTCTTCCCACACAGCAAGAAAGGTGGGCATAGAAAGCTGGGATTCGGGATAAATTAAGATCTACATGTAATTTAGGAGGTCTTCAATGATAGGATGAAGCATGGAGATTTTCTGCTGTGGAGAAAAAAAAAAAAAACCAAGAAGACAGACAAGAATGTGGTACCCACACAGGTTCTCTAAGCCCAGAGTCTGGGCTGCATTTTAAGCTGAATTGCTGCTTCTGCAGCCATAAAATAATCCTACTCCTGTAAGGTGGTTTAACTGAGAATATCCTCCACAGTCTCCATGGTGCCTCAGTCGGTGGCACTGTTTTCATCAGTTAAGCAGTGTCCTTGCTGGAGGAAGTAGGCTACTGGGGCAGGCTTTGAGAATGTAAAAGCCTCCCTCCAGCCATTTCCAGTTGTTCTCTCTGCTTTGTGCTTATCCTTCAAGATGTGACCCCTCAACTTCCTGCTCCTGCCATCATGCCTTTACTCCCTTATCATGGACTCCACCCCTCTGGAACCTTAAGTCCAAACAAACTCTTTCCCCTCTAAGTTACTTTCTTCATACTGTTTTATCACATCAATTACAAAGTAACTGATACACCTTGTTTGTCCTATCAAGTCACTATTTTCTCTTATACTAAAGTGGTCAAACTCTATCCCTAAAGGAAAGCTTGCCCATTTACATTATAATTTCCCACAGAAAGGGAGTCCTTCCTGTTTCAGTCTCTCATAAAGCAAAATCCTCCAAATGCACTTCATAGTTCACTGTCCAACAATTGGTACCCTAATTGGCAAAGAGAAATGGTACTGAGGTATGATTCTGTGGAGCTGAGCTGTGGTGCTGAGGAGCTGAGGTGTGATGCTGAGGTACTAAGGGGTGATGCTGAGTTGCTGAGGGGTGATTCTGAGATGCTAAGGAGTGATTCTGAAATGTTGTGATTCTGAGGTGCTGAGGTGTGATTCTGAGGTGCTATGGTGTGATTCTGAGAAGCTGAGGGGTGGTGCTGACGTGTGAGTCTGAGGTGCTCAGGCATAATACTGAGGTCCTGAGGTATGAGTCTGAGAAGCTGAGGTGTGATTCTGAGGTGCTGAGGTGTGGTGCTGAGGTGCTGGGGTGTGATTCTGAAGTGCTGAGGTGTGACTCTGAGGTGCTGGGGTGTGATTCTGAGGTGCTGAGGTGTGACTCTGAGGTGCTGGGGTATGACTCTGAGGTGCTGAGGTGTGATTCTGAGGTGCTGAGGTGTGACTCTGAGGTGCTGGGGTGTGATTCTGAGGTGCTGATGTGTGATTCTGAGGTGCTGATGTGTGATTCTGAGGTGCTGGGGTGTGGTGCTGAGGTGTGAATCTGAAGTGCTGAGGTGTCGTGCTGAGGTGCTGGTGTGTGATTCTGAGGTCCTTCTGAGAAGCTGATGTGTGACTCTGAGGTGCTGAGGTGTGATTCTGAGGTGCTGAGGTGTGACTCTGAGGTGCTGGGGTATGATTCTGAGGTGCTGAGGTGTGACTCTGAGGTGCTGAGGTGTGATTCTGAGGTGCTGAGGTGTGACTCTGAGGTGCTGGGGTGTGATTCTGAGGTGCTGAGGTGTGATTCTGAGGTGCTGGGGTGTGATTCTGAGGTGCTGGGGTGTGGTGCTGAGCTGTGACTCTGAGGTGCTGAGAGGTGCTGAGGTGTGAGTCCTTGCTGTTTTCACAGCAAAACAAGTGGCACTCTAATTTCATATACTTTACTTTTCCTCATAGTACCGTCCCTGAGAGTGGAGATGATGTTGAAGGATTCACTAACCTGTATCCACAACACCAACTGAAGCACCAAACACAGCCATCATGATAATCAGTAAAAATGCCTTCTTGCAGAAAGGGATGAAATAAAACCCAGCTGCGGTAGCCAACATTGACACACCTGAGGAAAAAGAATTAAGCCAGCTAGAAAACAAGTGTTCATGAAGGTTCGAAGTCAAAGGGACATCATAAAAAATTCTAAAAATGAAAACTAACACTGAATTAAAGCTGTTTGGTCTTGGGCGGGACATAGTGATGTACATCTTTAATCCCAGCACTTGGGAGACGAGGTGGGCAGGGCTCTAGGAATTGAGGCCAACATGATCACATAGTTTCAGACCAGCTGGGGCTGCATAGTGAAAGCTTGTCTCAAAAACAAAAACTAGAAAAGGTAAAACCAAATCACAACAACAAAAATGTTTGAGCATGAATGGATGAGAGACGCAGAGGCTATATGTGGGGCTTTAATCTAAAGCTTTTATAATACTTGTGGCCCATAAAAATGTAAATTACTATGACTTGATTCCAATTCTGTCATTGCTAATGATCAAATTAGAAATTGTAACAAAAGATAATTTTATAGTGTTTGAGTTGGTCCAAAAAGTATTAATTCAAAGAATATTTTATAAGATAACAATGTAAAAATGCAAAAGTAAAACTCAATCCTTATAACAGATAATAGGAAAGCTTTACCAAATAAATTCATTTGTGGGATAAAAGGAAATGAAGTACAGAAAAAAAGTCTTTCAACCCACTTTGGAAGTAGTAATGATTACTTATGTATCAGCAATAAATTAGTAACCTTGCCTCCAAAGATGTTTTAATATAGTAATCTAGATTGCTTTAATCTTGCCAATTTATTGAAAATGGCATGCTAACAGCTCTGCTCTATTTTCCAGGGTCAGGACCCAAGGTGACAGTCTGTGCTCAGCTCTGACAAGGGCAACAGGACAGAAGTGCACCCTCTATCACTTCCCTACCATCCCCTGTCCTTTCGTCTCCCAACCCAAGTCCACAGAGCCTGGCCAGGTTCCAGGAACTCATTCTGAGCCCTGTGGCCCAGAAGCCCCGCCCCACCCCATAAGCAAAGCTTCCTGGTCAGCCAGCGCATGTGCCTAGAGAGGAGTCTAACTCACAGTACAGGTCCATTTGGCTCGGGGTTGCCAACACTCACACCCAGGATAGAGCTGATCACGTTTTTAGAGGCTTAGGAGTCGTTTTCCTCCAGCGAAGGGTACGGAAGCGCGGCTGACAGGGCGGATGAACACAGCTGTTTCCATTGCCAACCATTCTGTAGACTATGCTTTTAATATTTAGAGTAATGTGAAAATTCATTGAAAAAAAGTGAAAAGCAGTGTTTGCTTACCCAAAAGTAAAAAAGGATTCATGTAGTCAATGAGAACTCCACCGATCATAGTGCCGCATAAAAATCCAGAGGCGCGGCCCACAAAGATGATAGAAAGATTGCCGAGGTTTTGATTCACATTTGTGGCCAAATCTTGAAATGTAGGCCCGAGGATAGCAATGCTTATTCCCTGAAATTTAAAAAGAGAAGAGCTGTGAACTTACACCCATTAAAATTATGTTTATTTAGATGGTTGCCTTTTCCTTTATAGAAAATGGGAGGAGAATTATAGTGTAATATAGGGGTTCCCTTTATTCAAACAGGAAAAAGTACAACCCTTTACTATTAGAGTCATATGCTCCTGTGAGTTTTCTTCTACTTAACTTTTAAATTTTATTTGTTTGCCTTTGGTTGCAATTCTTTTTTAGATTTTTAAGAACACTTTAAAAGATTTCCCTGCATTTATAGTTAAGATATATCAAATTTATTTTCAAAATATTTTCTTTATTTTAAATCTGACTGATATAAGAATTTAGATGTCAAAATTAAATTCTCAAACATCAACTTATTACGTTGGTTATGTTTTTAAAAAGCAATACTTCTGGGACACATGGATTTCTTTTTCTGAACTACACACATAATATGCAGGAAATAACTATCTGAATATTTCTAAATCTATAGGCCTCTTTAATGAAAGTCCAAAGCTACCAGGCAGAAGTATAGACTATAGGGCTTTTTAGGAAATATTTACATATACATATACAAAAAGGCTTTATCAATAAAATGTTGCCTGTAGCAAAAATGTGTTAGCAAGAACCAAGGGTTGAAGAGAAAATTCACTGAGGCCTTTGAGAAAAACGTTTCTAAGTCATCTATATTTCAAGAGTAATTAATTATAATGCACTGGTCTGCCCCAAAGCAAATGTCCTCCTTATCTTAGCAGCAGGAACTCAGAACTAAGGACTGCAGCGTGGCCAGGCCCGCAGCAAGCACCAGGTTCATGAAAGAAGACTGACTACAGGTTCTAACCGAACTCCTTCACAGGACTTAGGCCTGTGCGCACAGTGAAGACTCCTTAGCGCCTGCAGTATTTTCTAGAGTAGACCCTCCTATAGCGAAGTGGCCGGAAAGCAAGCCAGGTGTGGGTGATCTGCAGTCCCAGAGACTGGCGCAAGGTGCTCAAATTCAGCCTCAGTCTGGGCTGCTTAGTGAGACGCTGTCTCAAAATACTGAAGTTTCAAAAAAACGGACGCGGCTCCGCCCGGCTACTAACCACCGTCTGAGAGACAGGCCTTTGACGCCTACCCTAACCTCCTGGATGATGAAGAAAGTCACTTTCCTCTCAGAGCCCGTTTTTCCGTCTGGAAAATTACTAGTTGGCATAACTTGGTCAGGTTACCAGGAAGAGGCAAAGTGGCATTTGACAGTTTAATAATTTGGAGCTCGCGGGGATGATTGTGGAGGAGAGCAGGTGACGGCTCCGGTTTCCCTTCCTGTATCTCCTCCCAGCGCACCCAGGTGACAATGAAAGTTTAACGACGTCGGAAAACACATTAAGGTGATCCGTTTGAATTGACAAAAACCCTCCAAGATTAGAAACGTGTCCATTTTTTAAGTGGGGAGCCTGAGACCCAGGAAGATGAATGCACCCGGGCTCCCTCTGTGCAGGCTGGGGGAGCAGGTCTGCAGCTGGGGAGGGCTCGTTCCCTACGAAGCCTCCTGCCCCAGCCTGGGAGGGGGTAGCCTCGGCTCTCACCAGCCCCACGAAGGAGGCGTACAGGACCAGCGTGGTGAGCCAGAGCAGCGCGCCCCGGCTTCTGCCGCCGCGCCCGGCCGCCTCCTGCTCACTGCGTGTCGCTGGGACCTCGGCGTCATTCAGGAGCCACTGCCCAGTCACCGGGGCCACGGCCCCGGGGAACTCCAGTTCCAGCTCCAGCTTGGCGGCTCCGAAAGGCTCTGGACTCCCTCAACGTCTCCCCGGCGACTAAGCCCTGGGCGCAGCCCGGCCCCGCCCCGCAGAGCCTCTCCCCACGCCACCTCCCCGACCTCGGGTCCACGCGGGGCTCGCCCAGTCCGCACCTCTCCTGGACTCCCGAGGCGCAAAGGCAGCCACGCCGGGGACCACAGGTAGACGCTGCTGCGCCCCAATGAAAAGTCCCGCTAGACCCACAAGATGAGGTCCGCAGAGTTTCCTGCAGAGAGAGGGAGGTTTGCCCTTCATAAACTTCCCCAAACCCTGCCCTGCTGTCTGAGATTTCTGAGCCTTGTGTCTGTCTTTCACTCCACAAACATGTAATGAGGCGTACTCAGGAGCTTTCCTATGTGCTGATTAATTCCCTCTATGCTGCCACCCAGTCAGTCGCCAACCACCGTATAACAGCAACTCCAGAAACAAATGTAGGTTCTCTGGTTTCGGATATATGCCTCTTCTAATTCAGCACATAGTTCTGGAAAAGCATAGTATGTAGTAGATGGTTAAGTAAAGTTTTGCTAGCTGAGATCTTAGAGTTTGAGATACAGTTTCTATTCGGTTGAAAGAAGACATGTAAATAATTACTGACTGCATGATTCAGCCTTCTAGAAAAAACACTATGAAGAACAGGTTATGGGACGCGTAGAAAAGAGGAACTACTTCTATTTGGGAGGCTTGAAGAAGACTTCACTGCAAAGATATGCCATTGGGATCTTGGCAGAATAATGGAGTTGTCCATAGGAAAGCAAGACTTCAGATGAAAAGTGTTAGGGCAGTGTATGGAGGGCACGGGGTATCTTAAGGTGGACAGTGCTAAATGTTGGGGGAACATGCACGCAGTCTCCAGTTCCCACCTTTATAGGTCTTGTCGGCTAGTGGAAGAGACCGGAATCAAACAGCTACACCAAAAACGTAGCGTAAAGCTGCGGAGGAACGTGCGGGGCTGTGATTTCAGAAACCCACTTTGGTCTGGAGTGTTTAGGAAGCTATCTTTAAGGAAAGTGTGGATGCTGTGTACCAAAGACACTGCAGGGCGATTGGGAGACCTAAGTCAGCGCCATGTTGTAAAGATCTCTGGATGACACACCCATGAGTTTGGACTTCAGCAGTTCACTCCTGATGACACACTGAGATTTAGTGTGACAACAGGATGCTTTCCAGGAATGTGTTAGCCCTCGTGATAATTCCTCTTTCTCACCTCAAATTGAGCTCATCCCATCCTCAAGAGATCTTTTCCTGCTCCCGTGACACCACGCTGTTGCCACCATCTACCTGGTCTTCTCTGGACAGACTCCAAGGTCACACCTTAATATTCCCTGTTTCTGTCTCTCAGTACATCTCAAGTTCTGCCAATATCACCTCATTAGAAATACTCTATAGGTATTAAAAACAAAAACAAACAAGCAAACAAACAAAAAAACAGGCTTTTCCCTGTGAAAAGGCTGGATTGAAAACAAATTTGGTTTAAAGATTTAACTGCCCCCCCACCTCCACCCCCCTGCAGTAAGATCCTAATATGCAGCTCTGGCTAGCCTCGACTTCTCAACCTTCTGACCCCACTCCCCCGCAGTAAGAGCCTAGTATGCCGCTCTGGCTAGCCTCGACTTCTCAACCTTCTGCTTCCCTTCACCAAGACCAGGATTATAAGCACACGCCAGCAGATCTGACTGGAACCGTCTGCTTGGGGACTCTAGGCCCCAACAACATCCAATTCCGTAAGGAAATAACTGATGTGTAAGCCACGCATGGTGGAAAACACTTGTAATCATGACACTGAGGAAGCTGAAGCCACAGAATCACTTGGCCAAGGCCAGCGGAGGCAACAAAACAAGCAAACAAGAAACCCCCGAGACCGGGTGGTCAGATGAGCTGAGCGAAGCGGCCGGTTTTGTATACAGTGTGGGAGTCTGAAGAGATATGGCCTTTATAGACTCCTGTGTTTGAGTGCCTGGCCCACAGGGAGTGGCACTATTGGGTGGTGTGGCCTTGATGGAGGAAGTGTGTCACTGTGGAGGCGGGCTTTGAGGTTTCATATATGTGCTTTTGCACCCACACCCCATTTCCTGAATAACAACTCAGAGGCTTAAATTTATTTTTAAAAATGCCTAGGCTGTAAGTTCTGCTGGTTCCCCAACTAACTCTTTTTTAGGGTTTCTCTGTGTAGTCCTGGCTGTCCTGGAACTCACTTTGTAGACCAGGCTCGAACTCAGAAATCCGCCTGCCTCTGCCTCCCAAGTGCTGGGATTAAAGGCATGCGCCACCACCGCCCGGCCCCAACTAACTCTTAACTTACAATTTATTCTAACTTGGACTTAGCTACATGGCTGTTTTCTTCTCAGTTTCATTCATCTGATTTCCTCAGAATCTGGATGGTCATCCTGCCTCTGACCATCTCCCAGAGTTCTTCCCTCTCTGCCGGATGTCCCACCTTCTAATCCCGCCTCAGCTCATTGGCCATCAGGTTTTTATTGACAGGTAATACTTCCACACAGCACACACGGGGGAAGATTATCCCTACGTCTCCCCCTTCTAGTCCAGTAAAACGCTCTTTCTCTAACATTAATAAACTATATACAATAAGGACAATTATGAAAGGCATCAGGCAAGAGTTACATTCACAATGCCTAGTGTATTTGTAATGGACGACCTTGGAGAGAGTATCTACCATCCTATCTCGGTGGGTCCAGAGTTCTGTACCTAAATCACTTTCTATCGTAACTTGCATTACCAACTTAAAAAAATATCTTTTTTAGATTTCAAAACACTTTCTTAAATCCTAAACAACTTAAGCTTAATTGTAAGACTATAACCATCGATCTAGTCTTCAACCCCATCAGAGCCCTGAGAATAAATACTACCTAAGTAAATGGGAAGTGCTCAAGCAGCTTCCAAAACTATGTGACAGACTTTTTGTGAGGCAGGACCTTATTGAAGGACTTGCCTACTTTGTCCTTGTAAGCTCAACAGTTAACTTCCCCGTGTCCCAGTTATCCAGTTTGAACATCATACTGTTAGCGGTTGAAGCAGGGCGATTTCTTGCCCAGTGGCTAGCTTGCCACCTAGAAGCAAACTCCATATGGAGATTCATGTGGAAGGTCTTCAGTGCTCACCTTCTGTGAAACAGAACAGAGGAGCTGCCAGGAACAGACATGCCTCA